CAAAATACTCTATGGGGCCTACGTCAGACCGCTCCTGGAGTACGCCAACCAAGTTGTCTACTCAGGACGTACGAAAGACGTTACCTCATTGAGCGAACATAAAGAGCAGTGCTACACCCTTTTTTCACTTGTGCCTTTCAGGTGAACGACAGCCACTGACCAACAAGAACAAAACCGACCCGGGAAACTTGGGCAAAAGCCTCGATCCTGTGTATCAATCCGTGAATCAATCAATCCGTGATCCTATCTAGCAGTGTCGCCAACCATGCAAGGCAAAGGTCATTTCGGAAGGTAAGCTGCGCCAACACCAACATTTCATAATCGAATCCGTGAATCCGTGATCCTATCTAGCAGTGTCGCCAACCATGCAAGGCAAAGGTCATTTCGGAAGGTAAGCTGCGCCAACACCAACAGATATTTCATAATCGCTTTCACAACCCCCGCCAGGTCAAAGGTTGACTACTATACGGAGGCCAGCCGCCCCTAATAACCGAACATCACATCATCCGGACGGATGTCACGTGCAGGACACGAACCAAACGAAGGCATGCCCTGATTGGTCAGAATGCCAGCCAATCCGAATCGAGCATCTTTGACTCATGGGGATTTTAGCACAACCTAGTGGGGCACCCTGTGATTATCCTATAAATACAGTTGTAATAATTTTTCTGACTCCATAAAGGGCTGTCCAGTGTTACCGTGCCTTTTGACATACCATAGTGGGCGGAGCAGGAAGCCAAGAGACTGATACAAACAGACATCGATTTGGATTCAGGGATATGCCACTCCTCTCGGTGACCCAGTTAACAAAATTCATTGATGCCATATGGAGTGAGGGGAAAGTGCCTGAAGAACTGGCAATCTTTCCGATTTTCAAAAGAGGCACGTAGATGCTGTGTGGAAACCACCACGTCACCCTGGTAGCTGTGAGATCGAATTTTGGCTGAAAACATGGAGAGGCAGACCTCTGGAAAACAAAAATAGAATGCGCTTCGTCCCGTGACGGGATTCGCTGATCATATATTCACTCTTCGACAGTCTCTGGAACGGGGACTTTGCTTCCAAGAACCAACAACAATGGTATTCATTGAGCTAAAGGCTATTTTCGATCGTATGAACTTGTAGTGGATAACGTGAGCAAATACCAGTTCAAAGTAGTGAAATCAAATGAGAAAAAATAGGCTAGATGATACGACTCACAGTTCGTTGGTACAATTAGTTATTACCACCACAACAAATCCAAAGCGATCTCCTTCCTGGAATCTTCCCTGATATATTCCTAGATACTTTCTATCCCGTCGTAGTCTGAAAGGTAGATCACCGCTCGTTAATTCACTGCCAGCGTAGTTCGACACAGCAAGAAGGGAACACGCCTTTCACGAGGTACAGATTTTGTATTGTCTCCATATTTCTTTTTCGTTCATTTTAAACAAAAGTTATTCGGTATGAAGAGAAGAGGAATAAGCTGAGATTTTAGTGAGAGATAGAAAGTGGTACAATTTGAGTAATGGTAAGATACAAAGAAAGTACCAAAGTACAATGGTCAGAAGGATCACCGTAAGCTCTCAGGCAACATGGAATTATATACGGAAAAATGATATCCTAATAAATGTTTATCTTCCATCAAGGCGCTCCACGCCATCTACGGTAGACGCGTGAAGGTTTACGAGAAGCTCTCGCCGGAGATTAACATATCAAGTGGCATCAGGCAAGACTGTCCTCCTCCGCCCTTGGGACACTCACACCCAGCCTCTAAAGCCTGTGTGGTCGAAATATTCTCAGAAAAGTTGCTCACAGATATCCCGAAAGACGACATCGCACTTCTCAGATCTGACGCCACTGTAATGCAGACAGCGTTTAACAGGCCGAATAAGTTTGCTTCACGGTTGGGCATAAGCTTAGGACCTGTAAAGTGTAAAGTGCTTCTGAAAGCCTGGGTGTGCTCGAACCCTAGCCTCAGGCTTGCGGACGAGCACTGATCAGCGGTATCAGTCCCGGTGCTTAAGCCAAAGATGATGGGGAAGGACAGAGCAGACTTCCTGAAAGTGCATCACCTGTGGCGCGGTCACGACATCAACATATTCATCAAGGGTCAAGGTAACGGCCGCGATCCGCTCCATATTATCGTATGGGTCGGAAAAATGCCCGGTGAGCTCTGCAGAAGTCAAAATACCCTCAGTGTTGGACCAGCGTCGTTCTCGGCGTGGTGCCCGAGCCTGGTTAGAATACCGGATCAGTAATGCCTAAGTACGCCGGATGGTTCTTGAGAGAATTAGATCGCCCAAGACAGATGACTGATTACACTTTATTGGTTACAGAAACTTGGTGATGTACTCCGTATGCCAGTCGACTGACTTTACCAAAGAGCGCTTTTCACGCAATGGTAAGATGTGATTTCGTGCCTCATCTCGCAAACCGGTTGTAAAGTGGAAATCGGTAGCAGTCAATGACCTTGAAATTTTGCGCACTTAAACAAAATGCCCTCAGCAACATATCACCGAAGCATGCAGAGGAAGCTCTCGTAAAATCTTATCTTTGAAACCCCAAAGTTTCGTGCAAATTAAACCTGGAATTAACGTCTGGTGGGTGGCGTACCATTCCGTAAACAAGTGAATCCGTGAATTAAAAAGATCTCGATTCTAACTGGTCTGTATTCTGCCCGGTAAGGGTACGGCTTTTGGTGAAACCCTCGGTGGTCAAGACGACTGCGATTGTCAGCCACTACGACGGCCCTGGTTCTGGACGCAATACCTGTGTAATCAGTGACGCTACCTTCACTTAAGGAGGGCAAGGTAGAAAAACCCGCACTGCGATCCTCGATTGACTGACCGTTGTCGCCGGTGAGTTGTCCGATGCGGTCGAATTATCACTTATGGTGACTCTGATGCAGCTCCACACGCGTCTGCTGCAGGGCGGTGGCTTTGGGTGCGAGGTAGTTTCGCCTTATCTCCTGCGTTATCGGGTTCAGAGAGTTCCTCGCAGTAAAATGGATCTGACTCTTGAGTCACGGGTATCAGACAAGGTCTCCTAAGGGTCCTCTACCACATATTACGGTTTGCTCATTACTACCCGGGTGCCCGAGTAGTAGCAGTGATCGTTGCCTCGTTGTTAAACTTTCGATTCAAAGTGGCGAACCTCAAACAAACTTCTTTCCTCAGTTTGAGCAACCGGGAAGGTCGGTCCTTGAAGCCCTTCGCTCATCGCGCCCCTCACTTACATCTCGTCCGGCTGGTCCGGCGCGCGCATTCCGCTTGACAGTCTCCCAACCACCGTTTTATGCCAAAATATTTCCCAGTAAAATAAAACCAAATCGATCCCTTGATAAATAATCTGCAATCCTCTGCAGCTTCCGGTGCCCCGAGGCACCGAGTGGATTTACTCGGTCAACTTGAGCAACAGACATCTCTTTTAAGACTGCTGTACCCTTCTCTCGATATATGTCGTGGCTTGAAATTCCCGTACAACACTCCATTGTCGTGGCTTGAAATTCCCGTACAACACTACGCTTCGGTCATTCACCCCAGGCTAGTTAGCAGAGCTCAAAATTCCACTTTCCGAATACCTGGCGTCTCTGATTCAACAGCTGGTGGTGGCGGGATGGCTCAATGGTTGGAGAGAGAATTTGCTTACCGGAAGCTCCGTGGTTCGAGCCCGACATCTGCCCCTCAACCTCCCCTGTCTAGACTTGAGCGACCTGGCAGTATTCAAGCCCTCGTGTTCCCTTCGGGTGGCATGGCACTTAGGCACCGAAAGGGCTCTACAGCTGAGCGGTTTCCATTTATGATATGGAATTTGAACTCATCCCCTGGGTCGAACTTCCGCAACTGGACTTGTCCCCAGTAAAAAGCCGCTCTTGCGATGTTCGGCTGGCCGTCTTAATTAAGATGAATTCAGGCCTATACTTAAACTATGTTTATTTGTCGGAGAGGTATGCCGCTCGGCAGGCTGACTTACTGAAGCCGAAAAGGCTGGGTTTTATTGGAACTTGTTGCTGCTGCTTCAGAAAGCAAGAAGGATGGGCATGAGGATCCTGGCAGGTGATGTGAACGCCAATGTCGAAAGACTGATCTCGCGTGGTGCACATTTGCGTGGTGGATTAGGAGTCGATGCTTAGCTTACAAATAATAGAAGACGAAGTCTTTAGTCGTGTGCTGAAAGCCGTCTGTTTCTGACCAGTTTGAAAGCACTCACGTCGAGTTACTTGGAGGCCACGAACTGCAAACCAATCATGGATTCAGCTGTATCATTTGAGCTTCAGTTACCGGTGGAGAGTTTCGATAAAAAGTTGCCGTCCCCTTCAAGATGAGCAAGTTGACTCTGATTGTATCGTTGTGTGGATCAATTAGCAAAATCAGCACGTTACTGCCGCGGTAAAAGCCATACCAGCAGTTAGCAACCACGGCTGTTCGCGCAGACCACCCAAGCACCGGATCAGTTCATTTCTCGGCTTCAAGCCGTACACCGAATTAATGACAGAACTCCGGTGGGTTGCAAAATCCAAGGTGCTAGAGGTTTTTCCAGCGATAAATAGCTTAGTCTTATTTCTCCTGTCCTACTTGAACAAAATCTTAAGTGGAGAATCGACATCACCGTCCAACCGACAGCGGAAATATCCCACCAGATATCTTTCTTTCAACGCCGTCCTTGTAACTTTCACTCTGCACTTTTCAAGCAAGCCGGTTCTCATCCGAAGTTGAACGAATTCACCACAACGTCCTTCTAAACTTCGAATTCTCCCAACTCAGGACTTCCGTTTGCTCATGAGCGATACTGCCAGATCTTCGCAAGCGCCTGGAGGTTTGCCTGCGACATGGCACTACCAGCTGCGCCAATCACAGGATATCAGACACGGCAGAGGCGTTGCTTGAAGCTTGGATAGGTGTCCCATAGGTTCTGAATATAATTCAGCCTGACGAAACAGCTATTTCGGGAGTGGCGCCATCATCTTCGGCTATAGAAACCGCGCATTCGCTGCGCATTGTTTATAGTTGCCACAGTTCCCTTCATCGATGATCTGGAGAGGTAGAGGTGGATAGCTAAACTACAGCGGCGGTAGCTAATATGATGCGACAATACATGGGCGTCAGCGGGTTCCTCATCCCAGGGATTGGGAGGGGAGCTGTATACAAAAAACAGCAACTTAGATGCTTGAGGGCCTTTAAGGTTGCGACTGGGCCATGTCTAACAATGTCTCCAGTCATTGATATATCCCATCCCGGTGTCCCCATTTGGGGGGCGAGGAGGAGTGTAT